TCCTTTCAGAAGCATAGAGGGAACTATGCCTGGGGAAAAAAAGTAAAGGAAGAATTTTGCTGTGGTAATAGCCTATCTGGACTGCACAGGTAAAATTTGTGCTGTTTCTTTCCCTCACCACCACACCACTTTGCAGCTGAGCTGACCTGTTACCCTTCATGGGGAGGGACTGAGTTGTTATGTGCCAGCTCCCTATAAGGAGCTTTGGAAAGGAGCAAACCCCTGACCCCACAGGAGAACACTCACCCACGCAGCTTTGGTGTCCAGAGCGACTCTCCAACAGCCTCAGCAGTCACATCTCTGCATGTTTGAGGGTGGCAGCATGGCCCTGGCAGCTGGAGGCCCTTCCCTGGTGTCATGGTGCTACACAGTGCCGTGGAACATGCCAAATTGACAGAAACTCCTTTCTCCTGCAGCAGCTGCTTCTACCATCAGCTGTACTGCCACAGCAATGTCAATATTTGGGGCAGAGGGGCTCTTTCTTTGGCTTTGCATTGCTGGAATTCTGAGTGTTAGCTTCTCAAGCACAGATCTCGACTTGGGGGTACAGGAAATAATCGTAAACCCCATTGCTAACACTCTCCTTGGCTTGGGAAGTGGAACACTGAACACTAGTGAGCCCCTAAGGTAGCAAAATGCTTTAATTCATGGCCTACTAAGTGAAGGCTTGGTCAAGGCAAAAAATGCAGAAATGTTCTAGTGCAACAAATGAGAGCATTCCTAATAGCAGTTGGGAAGGGTTGTGGTGACTGCTCTATATTGCCACCTAGGAATCTGTTCACATCACAGCTGAGTCTTCAAAGTTCGCCAGTTTACGTGCCAACACATCAGATCTATACTAAACACAAAGAGGAGCACCACTAAAAAATAATCTCTGTTTTTGTTACCATGCTTTAAATGCAGAGATGCAGCAAAGCCTTTTTGGCTGTGAAGGTCTTACTCACTGTGCTTTTCATGATGAGTATGAATCTGAATGAATCTGTAATGAAACTCCAGTATAGAACAGTGTGTCCTTATTTTTGACCCTGAAAGTGGCATCTGACTTTTTTTGTCTGCTGGCTGCTGGTGTGTTCCAAGCAAAGGACTCTGGGTGTTGTGCCCTACCTGACCAGTGACAGGGAGAGGCAGAAGTGAAGTTTTCAGAAAGAAAAGTAATGGTTCCAGATCAACACTAAATCTGTCAAGACAAAATTAACAGATTTCGAGGAAAGGCGCTGAAGTAGATAAAGATGAGGAAAGCCTAAAACTTGGGTAGCAAATAATCCAAACTCCTGCAAAACCTTCCACTGAAAAGGCAGCTCTAGCTGTCATTTTCATCCTCCACATCAGTTAGCTATTCCTTAGCTTCTTTCCTGAACTGTGGCATTGAATATTTGGAGCAGCTATAAAAGATCTTTATGAGTATACAAGCATACTTAATCACTGTTAAGCAGATTCCCCAGACAGAAAAATAAAGTGTTCTGCTTGTGTTGGATGACAGAGCTGGATGCAGCACTAATGAAATTGTACTGGTTTTATCTGCAGCACTGCAACATCCAGGTGTTGGATGAAGTGTTCAGCACTCAGAAAGTACCCCAGGATATGGCCAGGTATTACAGATAATTCTGCTCATTCGTAATACTATTAACAAAAGAGAACCCAAAAACAAATCAAAAATAAACAAACAAACAAAAAACACCAAAAAGCACCCCCCCAAAAAAAAAAACAAACCAAAAAAAACCGAGCAATATTGAAAATCCAACCCTGTTTCAGAAATCCTGGAAATGTGCTGCTGGCTTGGAAGTGATTCTTCACAGAGACCTGCATCCCAGCTTCCCTAAGTCAAGTGATTTCTCCCATGGTGCCAGGCAAATGCTCCCCAGGCTCTTTTCTTTTGGAAAATATTGTAAATCCCAGGGCCAAAATTGTGTGGTTGTGCAGTCTGTTTTGGTGTGTTTTGTGTGCATCAGCCTTCTGAAATTCAATGAAGAATCAGACTCAGTGGCCTCTCAGCCACTATGCTTAAGGAAATGTAATTTTGTTCCTATAAAATTGTGAAAAGGAAATACTTAGCTGTTTTTCATATGTTTGTAGTAACATATGTTCTTGGACATTTTATCTGTTCTCCTGAATGTTCACTCACTCAAGAAGATGCATTGACAAAGAAAACCTCTCTGCCCTTCAGATCCCAGGTTAGTTTGTGGTTTGAGAAATAGAAAGGGAAATCCATATTCTACTAACTTTTAACCAGGTGTACATGGTTTGGAATTAAACTAACCATAAGGACAAATTCACACAGGTACTCTGAAGACAAAAAATGCACTTACAGAATTAAGACAATTCAAGACATGAGGAGTTAATGGTGATATGCACGGCAGCCTTTAGCTGTTTTTATCTACTAATGATACTGACCATTATTTACAGCAGCTGTTAAACCTGACTGGTTTACTATTATGGCCAGTTCCAAATCATTATTCTCTCTCATTTGACCCCCATGTCAGGTAAGAAATGGCCTGTGTCTTCAGAAGTTATTGCTGTTTATCAGAGAAATCCTTAATTCTGTTAAATAATTGTTGGGATCTTCTTGTTTTGTCAGGAACAAAATCAATAGCACCTAATAAAAAAAGTACGGTAATTTTGAGAACAGATCTGACATTGCTTTTAATTGATAAAAGACAAACTTATTAATAAGATTAATGTTCCCAGAGCAAAATTTCTTACAACTGTCCAGTAAAAAAAAAAAAAAGATCACATAATCACAAAGAATAGATGCAGCCATCTTTCCCCCAGCCAGCTCGTTCATTCTGCCTCTCTCCTTCATGTGCTGTGCTCTTCCAGAGCCCAAATTCAAGTGCAGCCACTGCAGATTCACCTCACTCTTTGGCCATTGGTTTTCAATACTGTCAATTTGTTGTTCATGCAAACTATTGCATATTCCCCATCCATTCTAATTTGTAGCTCATACATATTCCCCATCCATCTTTATCCCATCTATGTCCCTCCTTGAGCAGTGTTTTCATGCTTTCTACCTGGGTTTTCAACTCAGGCTGCCTCTGTTCTGTTCAAATACAATGTCCAGCACTGAAGAAAGCCAGTGTGACTGGCTTTCTTAAGTCTCAACCTATAAAAAAAAAAACTGAGCCTGGCTCAACAGCAGGTTTATAGCCTTATTATTTAAAAAATTGTTACTATGAAAAGATCTCCTGGTTCTGTGTGTATAATACATCTCCAAAGGGTCAGGAACAGCCAGGTTTCAGTGCTGGCTGGCTGTCAGAGTGAGGGTGCCTGTCCCGTGCACAGCCCAGCTCCACAGGACACTGGGACACAGCCCAGGCACAGCTCCACGAGAAGCTGGGACACAGCCAGGGCTGAGCTATATAGGGATCTGGATACAGGGAGCTGGTGGGCAGAAACATGCACAAAGGTAGAAAGAAGCAATCTGGACATTCAAGATCCTGCTGGTCCATCCCTTCCCTGCCTTTCTGAAAAAAAAAAAAAAAAAAAAAAAAAAAAAAAAAAAAAAGGAGGAGAAGCCTCTGTGGCAAGTCCTCCATAGCTTGCAGAGATTTTCAGGATGGACACCGGAAAAAAGATTTGGGAGATACAGCGGCAACAAAGGATGAGAAAAGAGGGCATGTGCATGCTCATCAATTCCTGACAGGAATGGGGTTGAAGTGAAAAGCTTCCTGACGACCTTCGACAAGCAACTGAAGCATGAATACAGAAGCTCATTGAGAGCAGAGTTGATTGCCTCCACTGCACTTAGAGACTCCAGTTAGAAAAACACAGAAGAAATCTCAAAGATATATGTGAAATAATAAACGACACAGGCATAGAGGGTTAAGGTGTTAACCCTTCACCATGATTAGCAGCAAAATGCTCAAATGTTAATTTAGAGACCAGAGCTGAAGGGCTTGCACCTTTTTGCATACTAAAGCCTTTGCAGCAAACATGCATTTTTGCAGCAAACAGAATTACAAGAGGCTATTAAACACTGGCAATAAACTATCCCTGGATGTTTGCAGGGGTCTGAAGTGTTGGTTCATAAACTGTAAAATTTCTTTCTTTCTCAGATGGCTCTTTTTAGGTTACTGCATATTTTCCATGTGGAAATGATGGCAAATACAAGATTAGCGATGTATGTAAATTTTTAAATTATCCTTAGCAATATTAACTGCACCTTAACTGCCTCTAAGTAAACTGTCCTCTCTTTAATTTTGTAGAGAGAAGAATGCATTTCCAAAAAGATAGCCAGTTAGCCAGTCTGGTTTTTTTTTGTCATATGGCATGTGTATTTGTGTGCGTGCATGTACGTGTACGTGCGTGTCTAGGAGTGCTACAGCAGGTGTTATGCAAGGATGTGCTGACACTGAAATTCCTGTTTATTCTCAAAGCAGTCATTGTGCATCAGGTTAATTTATTATCTGACAACAAGGATGGTCTCGTTCTCTAAATTAACCTGCAGGCACATTTGTGTGGAGCTCTAAGATGAATTCGGCAATAACCACCGACCGCAGCCTGGTCTGGCACAACCCAGTTTCAGCCATAGGCGTGTTATGTACTTTTCATCCAAAGCAAACAGGTAAAAATTAATGCTTAAATCATCTCCTAGTGCTGCCATGCAACATAGAGGATAATACAAATACTTAACATTGTAAAATTAAATTAATATTTTATCCTTTAATAATGTTGTCATGTTATAATGGAACTATTAATAATGAACATCATCTTATTTTATTAATTCTAGGGTTATAACAGCTACACCAGTGACATTTAATCATCTTAAATATATGACCAAAAAAATCACCACTGAGAATCACAGGAATTTTGAGCTGTACCGAGGTCCCAGCACTTCAGAATCCTGTGTTCCTTTGTCTGTCCTTAATCCCTCTGTCCATGACAGTATTTATAGTGTGTGGTCACACGTTGAGGAAACTTGGATGATATAAAGGCACAAGAAAAACTATAAATGAAGCAAAAATGAGCACCCTCGAGCAGCAACAATAAGAAAAGCAGAAGGCTTTTGGAAAGCAGTGCATTTTATTCCCACATCTCATTCTACTATCTTCCACTGATGCTCTTAAAATACCTCAGCACGAGGCAGTATTTTTATTTCGTTGTGCGACAGTGTCTGCTACTGAAAAACTGGATTGCGTTTGCCAAATTCCCATTTTAATTTAGGGAATTTACAGGTAAAAACAGAATACAATATAATCACATTTCAACTATACATGCAAATGTACAACATTGTAACAGCAGCTTTTTAAATAGTCAAAACTGTTTGAATTTCCACAGATTTCTACAATTTAACAACAGTAAGTGGCAGAACATTTAACCTCCCCCCAGGAAAAAGTCCTGAAACAAGAGTCCAGTGGGAGAGCTTCCTAGAGCACGTGTCAAACACAGTGTGTGCACTACAGGATCTAAGACTGGCACCCAGGTGGTTAGAAGATCCACATTTTTTGTGGACAGAAAACACAGTGAGGACAGATCAGAATTGTGGGTTTCTCTCCAACCATCTGTATGATTACAATGCAGCTCAATATTGCAATGAGTTCAGTAATACAGCAACTATAAGTCGTAGGCACAAACTTCTTTAGTCTAGGATGCATTTCAAAAACTAACAAAAGCCCTATTATATTAGCCTAGAAACAATAAATAGTACTTTTATTGAAAAGATCCCATATGGAGCTCGAACAGAAGGTAAACGTGTTTTGGCGTACAGCCAGTACCTCTTAAACACAAGCTATACATAACGTGTAATGTACAGGGCTCCGTGCCCTGTCCCCCAGCTCAGCAGCTACAGGCTTTTAGCATAAATGTCCTTTTAGCCGTCTCTGTCAAAATTCATGGGTGATGCCAGGTCAGCCAACTTCTGCAGTCATTCTGAAAACACACTGCCACAGTACCTGATGTTTCTGCCTGCATTTATTGACAAGAACCTAAAGCTCCCCCAGAGAGCAGTTTTGCAAATATTCCCTGCTGGGCAAATTGCTCACTTCAGACTGAACCCGCTGTGAGGCTAATGCTGCCTGCTCAGCTGGAGGGAGCGCTGGGCTAGGCACTGGTTAATTAGGGAATAATTGATTTTCAGTTCAGTGGCTTAATAGATAATAATAAATAATTATTAATAACAACAATAACAATATTAAAAACAACAACAACAAACTTGGTTCACTTTTTAAGAAAATGGTAATACCTTGTTTCGGTCTGTTGTCAAGCTGGACTCAAATGGCTGCAGCACACTTTCGGGGTGAGAAAAGGTTTCACCCAAGTACTCCCACCTACCAAATGGATATCTTCAGGTGAAAAACCACTCAAACATCTGTTTCCACAGTCTTTTCAGTTAAACAGATGTGGGACAAAATACTAGTATGTTCAGCAGAGGCCTCGCTGGAGCACCTGCTTCCCACTTCCCACATGAGCACATGAGTTTCCAAGGGGAAAGGCAGCTCTGCCCCTTGCAGCCCATGGGGACAGGGATGGTCTGGGCACTGAGGAGCTGCTTCTGCCAAAGCCATGGATGTCCCCGTGCCGAATACACAGAGCATCCCACTCCCCAAGCACTCGGCCAGGGGATCTGCCGGAGCACCGGGCAGCTCCTGCTGCCTGCCTGCACTTTGTTCCACTGGACAGCAGAGCACAGGGACAGCGAGGGCGGATATGCACAAAGCCACGTACCAGCACGTGGCCAGGATGTAGCACAACTGTCCTGCAAAAGCACCCCTGGGAACTTCAGAGTTGGTGTCCCCAGGTCTCCTCTCAGCCTCAGCTTATGAGAGAATGAATGGAGAGAACACCTAGGTTCCAGTCCAGGCTCTGATTCATCCAATTTTAGGGTACAAGGAGGGATAACACAAGGCACAAACTTTCTCCCTAAATTTTTATAGCCCTCCCAAATCCAATCAATACATACCAACATTTCCAAACTCTTTTATTTGAGTCAAGCTAATATTCCAAATGCTACGTATAGTTAAAGCTCATAGATAAACATCCTTCTTTTGCCAGTCAAAGCTTCTCAGAAGCTCAGATGCTTTCATGTATATCACCACAAGACTAAAGGATTTCTACTGAAGACACAAAGCACCCAATGTTAACCACGTCCAAGGCTTGGCCTGGAAGGCTTCAATTCATGAGATAAGAGAGTGATTTTACACCAATATAACTGAAGTGGTACAACCTCTAGCTCTGTTGCAATTGTATTGACACAGAGGAGCACAAAAAAGTACAGTTAATATGAGTTTATATTGTAGGAATTAGTTATGTAGAGTACCTATAATTGGATGGATACAGATACAGAAACACACTGACAGAGCCTCCAAATCACCAGGCTCCAGACACAATCTAAGGTATAAGCCACTGTTGTGTCACTGGTACTGCCACGTATCTCAATGGCACCGATATCCCTCACATTCCCAGCTGCTGGGCAAGCACCCCTTACCCAGCTCTCTGTGTCTGCAGCAGTGTCAGTACCTTAGCTGAGGTGGGTATAAAGTGACATACTGAAAGCAGCTGAAAGCAAGCCCAGAGCATGAGCAAACTATGACCTTTTGCTTTTTGACAATGAGGTAAAATCATCCTGAATGACTTGGATTTCTAAGTATTGATGTGGAAATGTATGCTCTGCCTTCCCCCTGTACAGAAAACCAGGTGTCTGTCCTCAAACAATAAGCTTCCAAATCTGCTTTTTAAGGGTTTGGTAGCTCTTCATTTTCTATCAAATAATCCTTCTTTATATAATTAGCACCCCTCACCAACCTCCATACTCCAAGATAGGCTTCTTTCAATGAGCTTCTGTTCACTTCTTGTGTGATCGTGGATTTTCCCTGAACCACAAGTGCCTTGGCTGATTTCTCAGTGGTGTCCTTCTCTTCCTCTCCACTCTGTCTCTGCCCTGTGGATGATCCTTCCACTGCTGCTTCCTCAGCCCCCTTCACCTGGGATATTGTCTCCATGGCAAACAGAGCTTGGTCTCCAGACTGCCTTTTTCCCTCCTCTTCTCTAGCTTCTTTCTCCAGGTCCTCATAGTTGCTCTGCCGCCTGGTCTCAATGTACTTGGCCACGCAATAAATGATAGACCCCAAGGTGTTGACCACAACACCGGCTATAAATAACTTTGTGGGCTCCACATCATTGAATGCCACCATGCCTACCGTGATGGTGGCTATGCTCTTCACCACCCCTACAAAGCTGGTGGTCACAGCCGAGTTAATGTAAGTGCAGTGAAGGGTGGTAAAGTTCATGGCACAGCTAATCAGGACACAAGCAATAAAGATGCATACCATTGCAGGATCCTTCCATCCTGGGAAGGACCAGACATTGATGGAATCCATGCTGGCGAAGGAGCAGATGATGAGGAAGGGGGTGGCTGAAACAGCAATGGCATACTGAGCTGTCAGGGGTCCATATTCACTATCTACACTGGTTTTCTGAATGAGCACCAGGTAGGCAGCGTGTATCAGCACGGCCAGCACACCTGTCACATAGCCCATAGCATCCCCGGTCAGGTCACCAGCTCCTGTCATGAGAGTCACAGAGAGAAATAAGCATGGGAGACATGGACTAGAGGGATATTTAGGAAATAGGCATCATTGCACTTTCCATAACCCCTAGGATTTGTCATGCTTGTCCCAAGTCTTGACTTCCAACAAATCTCTTATACATTTTTTAAAGCTGCAAACATATTGACTGTTTTTCATACCTCCTCTAAATCCCACATCCAAAATCAGATTGCCTTCTCCCTTTTGTGAAGACACGATGGAAGATTTGTAGCTGAAACCACACACACACATACACACACACACACACAGCAACCCTGAGCATCCTCGTGCCAGCACAGAGCAAGAGACACAGCAGGAAACAGAGCCCAGCAGCTCTGGCTGGCTGGGCTGCCTGCCCTCCAACCCACAGGCCATTCTGCACGCTCTAGCCATGGAGCCCTGTGGGATCCCTGAAGCAGCAGCCTCCCTCCCGAGACCCCTGTCAGTCTCTCTGCAGGTTAAATTACACCCTCTGCATGTGCTCTGCTGTCTGAAGCAGCCCCTAGCCCAGGAGTGCTGTCGGGCCACAAAGTGCCAGCTTTGCCTCCCACCCCACCTATACCTCGACTGGAAAGTAACATGAGTTCTCCTGGCCCCAGAGGGCTGTAGCTGACCCCTAAGCTTGCAACTGCCCTTATAAGATGACACTTGCCCCAGAAGGGCTGCAGCTGTCTCATGGGCTTGCAGCTGCTCCCAGAACATCACATCTACCCCTGTAGATTCACCCACCCGCCAGAAGACTACACTTCCCTCCATAAGGTTGTACCCTCCTTAGAAGGGTTGCAATAAGGTTGCAGCTACTCCCACAGGTTCACACCGACCCCCATCAGGATGCACCTATCTCCAAAAGGTTTAACCGAGCCCTGCAAGAATGTACCAGTCAGAGCGGGACTGCATCCACCCCTGCGAGGCTGCACCTGCCCGCCCGTGCGCCTGCATCTGCCTCCGCGGGGCCGCAGCTGTCTCCCAGAAGTGCACGTCCCCCGTATCCTCGCGTCTTTCTCATCGAGCTGATGCTGCCCTCCCAGTCCCGAGCCCGGAGCCCGGAGGGAGCGGCTACCTCTGCCGCCGCCCGTCCCGTCCTGTCTCATCCCGTCCTGTCCCATCCCGTCCCATCCCGTCCCGGCCCGTCCCCTCGGTGGGTCGTGGTCGCGCTCACCGGCCAGCGCGGCGCCGCAGGTGGTGATGAGGACGGCGACCAGGACGCCGGGCGAGGGCATGCCGTCGCGGAGCACCAGGGCGCCGGTGACCAGGGTGACGAGGGGCAGGCAGCGCTTGAAGACGACATACATGGGGAGGCTGAGGCCGCGCAGCGACCAGAGGGTGAGGGTGGACTGCAGGGTGGCCAGGGCGGCCACGGCGGCGAAGGGGCGCGCCAGGCGGGGCCCGAAGGGCGGCAGCGCCGCCAGCCCCCGCCGCCGCAGCGCCTCCAGCCCCAGCGCCGCCGCCGCGCTGCTGAGGCACTGCAGCAGCGTTAGGAAGGCGAAGTGGTAGCGGGCCAGCAGGAACTTCAGCAGGATGTTCAGCGAGCCCGAGCACAGCCCGTGCGCCACCGCCACCGCGACGCCCCGCGCCCGGCCCCGCCACCGGAGCATCCTGCCCGCGCACGGCCCCGCCGCCCGGCCCCCGGCTCTGCCGCCCGCCCGGCCACCCGCCGCGGCGGCGGCGCGGGGGGACGGGGACGAGCGGAGGCAGGGGGCGGGAGGAGGCAGGACGCGTTCCCGGCAGGGCGGCCACCGCCCCCGACGTGTCCCCCCCGCGCCGCCCCCAGCGTGTCTCCCCTCCTATCCGCGTCCCCTCCCCGCCCTCAGTGTGTCCCCACGCCATCCCCAGTGTGTCTGCGTCGCCGCTGTCGGTGTCCCCCATCCGGCCGCCCCCGCCCCCCGTGTTTCCAGGTTCGTCCCGCGGTGTCCCCCGGAGCACGCCCGGCTCAGCGGGGATGGGAAGCCCCGCCGCTGTCCGCAAGCCCTCCCGACCCCGCTCGGGTGCAGGAGGACGGGCAGCGGGAGCGCACCGAGGTGCTTTCCGCGCGGAGAAAACCCGCGGGGCGCCCGCAGCTCCGCAGCCGAATGCTACCGGCCCGAAAATAATGTGGAAGAGCCGTCTCCCGGAGCGGGGAGATAAGTGCAGGCCCGCGCGTTCCCAAGCAGGGAGTACCGCTTTTCCTACTCCCCAGAAGTATACGGCTTCCCGGGAAAAAGCATCTGTCGAGCCTGCCGGCAGCATTTCTCCCACTGCTCTCCTGCTTCCTCGGCTTATCCGAGGGAGCGCCTTCTCGGGCTGCGAACGGCAAAGAGACGGAGACTGCTGCTAAGAAAAGCAGGAAGAACCAGGGTTCTAACAGAGGGAATTGTCTTGAGAAGTCACCAAAGACTGGTTGCCACACAGCTTTTGAAAGTGGTGTTTTAAAACCTGGTAAATCCTAAATAAGCTGATCGCTTCTCTCGACTTTCCAGACGAGAGTTTTAACAGGAGATGGCAATAGACCGTATCGACTCTTAGGAAAAGGCAAAGCAAAAGCAGTTCTCTCGGGCAGCCAGAGAACTCCCCTCTACCACTCTCCTGCAGCATCAGGCAACACAAGGGAAGGAAAAACTATACTTTTATTCAGAGCTGCCTTATAATATCGATTTCTCTCATCAGGACAGGCAGGGTAAAGCTGACAGGGCAAAGTTAATAAAATGAAACTAGGTAGGCATTAAGAATGAGTGTCTGAAGATGAAAACTGGTAGTGCAGGAAAAGAAACCATAGGTACTGGAGACCAAGCCTAGTTTCAGAACCCACTGGAGAAATGTGCCAATACATTTACATCAGCCTCTATTTGGACTCACCCCAAGCCCACATGCAACACAATTAAAAAAAAAGTGTGGATCACCTTGACAGTGTTTGCAAATGAGAGAAAAACAACTCATTCTGCCAGGTAAGTGCAGATGGAAAAAAATCAGACCCTGCTTTCTGGAAATACTGTAGTCATTTGGCCTAAACCTGAGTGTATCCTCTGGCAGAAACAATTTTGTCACCTCACCAGTGAAATTATCATTAGAGAAGTGAATCTCTGACATTGAAGAGTATCACGCTGAAAAACTACTTTAGGGGCTAAATATTTCCTTGACTGAAACAGAAAAACAAATGTATCAGTACCAAAAATTTTAAGACTATTTCACTTGTAAGGACTGTAGAATAATCATCCTAGTCCATGTGCCTGACCAGACATTAAATCTTGTTGTTAAGGGCATTCTCCAAATACCTCTTAAACACTGATAAGCTTGGGACATTAACCACCTCTCTAGGAACCCTGTTTGTGTTTGAATGCCTGCTTAGTAAAGAAATGCTTCCCAATGTCCAGTCTAAACCTCCCCTGATGCCTCTTTGAACCATTCCTACACATCACTTCAATCCCAAGGGGAAGAGATCAGGCCCCTTTCCTCTGCCCTCCTTGGGAAGCATCTGAAAGTGATGATGTTTCCTCTCAGTCTCCTTTGCTCCAAACTAGACAAGCCCAAAGCCTTCAGACTCTCCTAGGAGGACGTGCCTGCCAGCCCTTTCACCAGCTTTGGGGTACACTGCTGGATGCATTCAAGGACCTTCACATCCTCTTTAAATTGTGGGGCCCAGAACTAATAAATAAATGGAGAACTTAAAGAGAGGCTGCAGCAATACTCAGTTTGGAAAGTCAAGTGTTCGAACACCAAATCCTATCTTTTGGAACTCACCTGTGCTATAAAGGCAGCTTCTCTTGCAACATCTCTCATGGTACACCTAATTCTAATATTGTCTATAGACAGGAAAGGGAGGTGGAGAAGAAGCTGTTGTCCCTTACCAAGCCACGCTTTTCTCAATATGGATTGAGGCCAGGTTCAGTACTAATCTCCCACCACTCCACAGTTACACAGTGTTCTCCTATTGGGGAGATTCACTGGGGAGGAGTTAAATAAAGCAACAATGACACAGGTGAGAGGAAAACAAAAAAATGCAGTAAATTGGTGTCTTCCTAAGGGCATAGATTTTTTATAATGGCTTCTTGGATGAAAATGGTAAAGACCTCTATAAAATGTTTAATGGAAAATTTGCCTTAATTAAAGTCTAATGCAACCATCAGGTCTATCAGATAAGAACTGTGTCAAGTTTTATCCATTCCCCATTCCATGACCCTGAGCACAGCTGATCAGTGCTATTGAAAGGCACAGTACAGCCTGCTTATGCAGCAAAATTTGAGGCCAGAACTGTACTTGGCTAGAAGAAAGAGATCGCTTAATCACTGACACACACTCTGCACAAACAGACACAAAGAATAATTTAAAATTGCTTTCCTTTATGAAAATGAAGATCTGATGGGGCACACAGCCTGATCAATTGCATAAAGTTGCATAAAGTATGGTCTCTACCAGTACAGGGTAGAGACCATCACCCAGAAAAATGTGACCATCACCCAGTATTCATACAAGAAACAAACCATGATTATGATACTCTTCTTAGAAGACACTCTCAGCATGGTATTTACTTTTTGAACAACATTTCTTGATTGGGGAAGTGAACACAAGAGTATAGCCAAAGATACTGTGCGCAATTAATTTAATAGTATTATAGAACAACTCCACACCTTTAGAACTTGATTAATCAGTATGTTTCTTGAACCAAAGAGAAACCCAGAGTTAAATAAAACAAAATCTTTCACAGGAGCAAGTTTGAAAGCAGAAGACATTACATGTTTTAGACTGTTGTTGTTAACTGTTTCAGTAAATGAAAAAAAAAAAAGATTGGAAGATAGTATTTTGGTCATAAAATAAGAAGTATTCTTCAAAACAACTATAGCAAATATTCCCTGAGAATTAAAAATCAGCAACAACTATTGCCAAATTGTTTTTTTCTGTTACAGTGCAGAAATATTACAGCACGTTCTCACCATTTAAAGATCACACAGCAAAATAAAAGGCCACAGTTTTTATTTATTATGTGCATCTTCTGGATGTCCTCATATTTCAAGAGAAATAAATCCAGATAGAGTAACCCTCAGCATTGAAGTTAACCAGGACATGAAGGGAGAGAAGGCAGCTGAGGAAAGATTTAATCCATGTGCTGAGTGTGCATGTTCAGAATTCCTAATTTTTCCCCTTGCGCTAGGTTTTCTAAATTTTCCCTTCCAATTGATAGGCTATGACAGCATTTTGGAATAACCCACTCTCTCTGTCCCCCCAGAAACATGCATATAAAATACACACCTGCCACCAAAATGTTCCACTCAGACAAGCAACTTGTAATCAAAGCAGAAAAGAGAGATAAAACAGAAGAGTGAAGGAACTATTGAAGTTGAAATAATCAATTTTAATGCCTAAAATTAGATTTTATGGCCCGTGGTACTGCTGAAAGCTGCATGCAGCACAGTTTTATTCTGCATTATTCCTCAGCACACAGAATTAAAGTGCAGTAAACGGTTCAGATTTGGTACAGCACACTGTCATAAAAAAAGATAAAATCTATTTTTTGTTATTAATTCAACTCAAAAAGATGCCAGTCTGGAGGCAGTTTGCATTTGGCCAAAAAAAATACAAAATCCAATTTGGATCCAAATTATCATGTTGTAGAAGAAAGTTTTTTTCTGCCCAGCCTATATATCCCATCAATATATGCATGTCTCTCTGTGGCTACCTGTTAGCTCCCTAGCTCTTTGTCCAAGATAGAACAAGCATTCTTTCCTTGCAATTTGCAGGTCTTAGCTCAGCTGAATTCTTTCCTTCATTTCTTCAAAGCACCCAGCAGATCTGGCAGTGTCTGCTATTGGTTGATCTGTGAGTGCTGCAACCCAGGATAGAGCATTTATTAACAGCACACTATGAAAACTTGACCAGAGATCTGCAAAGATCCAACCTGCAAAGAGTCTTTTGATTGTAGTGGTAGCTGAGGTGGGCTAACAGCAGAAAGGAGACAGTTTTAAGAGGGGAAAAAAAAATGACTAGCAGGAAACAAGGAGAGAAGGCTAACACATACCAATGAGTGCTGCAGTACTATCACAGTTTGATCCTAAAATACTATTCAGAGGTGTTTGGAGAAATGTAACATCTGAACATCTCTACTTGCCACAGAAAACTTAGATGGAAGTACCAGCATGTGGGCTGAGGGGTCAAACTGGGAAAGCAAAGTATTCAACATACCTAGAACATGTTGTGCATATTGTAGTGACTGCAATAGTTTGGCCAGGCTGGATTCGCTATGCTTGTATCATGCAATTAATCTGCATGTATATAGGTCAGCTGGACTGGACATCAGTTCTCACTTTGGTAGGCTGTCACAGGTCCAGAAACACTGGATTTATGGCCACATTCCACTTCTATTTCTTGGAAGAACTTTCTAAGTGAAAATAGAAGACAAGTGTAATAGAAGAAATGGTCGTCCAATCTCTAAATCTTGAGGATTGTGATCCAATTAGTTTTGTATGTATTTAATTTCTTCATAACAATTTTCTCTATTATCAGAGTAACTTTCTACATAACTTCATCAACTGTTTTGCTCAAAGAGATCTAAAAGAAAAATATATGAAAATAATCTTTACCATCTTTGTGAAGCAGCAATCAGAAAGGTCAAACAAATCAGCTAGCT